AGCAAGGCCAAACGCTGACCCAGAATCCCACTGCTATGCATCCAGCAGGGAAGGATCCCTCCAAGATGACACCTCCCTCCCGCAACACCAGCCTGAATTTGCTGATGGTGTCGGGGGACTGTGTCGACTTTCTCTCTCTAGCGCCACCTGCTGTTCTGTTGTTTCTCTCCGTCCTTTTCTCAGTCATGGCAGCACCATAGATGGAGCTTTGCAGCGATAAAAACAGGCTGTTAATGGGGCTTGTCGCCAGTCCTGACAGCTGAGTTTGGGGCTTAGGGGCTGAGCAAACCCATATGTTAGGGTCCTCCTAGTGGTGCGACAGCAAATTTCCACAGCTAACCATCCAGAAAAGGCTCAAGTTGGGTGACGTCGCCTTCCGGCTGGTTTTTCCTCTTATGGAAACTGAGAAATTACTATCAGCTCATTCTGAGTGGCCTAAAACCCAAAGGACCAGCGTCAGGACCTCATCATCTCTGCAACCCTCAGGCACATTGATGAAGCTGCAGATTCAGGAGATTTGATGCAATTATTAAGAAGCGTGAAAGAAGCGAAGGAGGCAGCAGGTCATCAGTGGCTGGTGAAACAGAGGACAATGTGGCGCTGTCTCTAAGTGTCCTTCTTTCGTTATTTTATCAGAAATTCCACGTAAAGCTCTCTCCAGGAGCTCCAGAGTTCTGGGGGGTTGATGTCAGTGCCATCTGCAGTTCTTATGGACAGTTATTAATGCTTTCCCATGTCACCGGCAGCACACGTGTGTTTTCTTAAAGCACTGGTGCATTTATAGAACAATGGCATGCTTTAGTCCGTCGTGGCAGGCCTTTTGTTCTGACGTTCACAAAAAGACGTGTCAGACAGATGCTGACAGAACTGTTGTTCTTGCGTGCGATTCTGTCCCATAACCAAAATGTGCACATGACCCATAATGATGTGGGACTTTTCAATGACAGTAATTTGTGAGCCAATGATCCATGAAAAATGTATGAATTATGAATTGTATTTTTTTCCTGTGATGGAGAGTATTTCGGGTCACTGTAATCGGATGTAGAGGTAGGCAGGGTATTAGGAAGGACATAGATATTATTTAGCATCATAAAAGCCCTAATTGTGGCTCTGATGGGCTTGTTTAAAGTCTCTGTACTTCAACACTTTTGCGGGAAATGAATACAAGGGCAGTTCAGCAGCAGAATAAAGTGAGACCCTGCTGATGAACCCCCCTGTTGTTGTAACATGAAGCGCTGTGGCATCTTTGGTGAATTGCCCTATTACCACAGCTTTTCAAAAGCAGCTCTTCTGGAACCTTCCGGCAAAGAGCTGCCCTGCTCTGCTGAGGGTCCACGTCAATGGTGGCCCTTAGGTCGGGTTCGGCTGTGTTAGCATCATAGTTTGTTAGTTTGGTCCTCACATTGGGTGTAGTCCACACAGCAGGTTAAGTTTGGTCCTCACATTGGGTGTAGTCCACACAGCAGGTTTAGTTTGGTCCTCACAGTGGGTACAGCAGGTTTAGTTTGGTCCTCACACTGGGTATAGTCCACATAGCAGGTTTAGTTTGGTCCTCATATTGGGTATGGTATACACAGCAACTTTAGTTTGGTCCTCACAGTGGGTATATTCCACAGCAGGTTTAGTTTGGTCCTCACAATGGGTATAGTCCACACAGCTGGTCTATGTCCCAGAGCCACTCTGTTCAAACTTACTGCCATGTGGCACCAATTTGGCTCTGTGCCTCATCGCCCCCCCACCCCACCCCACCCCACACCCTTGCCCCCTCAGTGTCGGATCCTGGTGTTTTTCTCAGGGTAAATTTCAAGACCAATTTCCTGGCAGGAATTCCTTTGCTCTGGTTGTTTTTGTAAACAGTTTTAATGGTTTTAGTACGTGGTTGGATCAGCAGGTCTGCTCGCGGGTGGACAGCCGGAACCTCTTACGCCAGAGCTCTTCCAGCACACGGGGAGCTCTGCTTCTCTTTCATAGTGATGTATTGGAAGGTTGAACAGTGTTTTAGCCATATTCTGCAGCTAAATGCCTTGATAATAATGTGCTGTTATGTCAGGTGAATGTGGTGTCAGATCAAACAGGAATGAGCTACAAACAGCTGCAATCTAGCTGGTGGGCAGTTCCAGCTCGCCTCTTAATTAATCACTTTCAAAGAAACATCAGAGTTGCTACCATTTCATCGTTTGCATCTCTTTGATAAAAAGACAACAAAACAAGCAATAATATAAATTATAACTACAAATAGTAAAATAAGTCATTTAATAGTTCAGCACTGTGGCATCACACCTCCAGGGCTGAGGGTATGACTTGCGTGTTCTCCCTGTGTTTCATGTTCTGCCTGTGTTGCGCCTTCCCTCTCTGCTTCGTGTGCTCCCTGTGTTGCGCCTTCCCTCTGTGCTGTGTGTTCTCCTTGTGTTGCGCCTTCCCTCTGTGCTGTGTGTTCTCCTTGTGTTGCACCTTCCCTCTGTGCTGTGTGTTCTCCCTGTGTTTCATGTTCTCCCTGTGTTGCGCCTTCCCTCTCTGCTGCGTGTGCTCCCTGTGTTGCATTCTGCCTGTATGTTCTCTCTGTGTTGTGTCTTCCCTCTGTGCTGTGTGTGCTCCCTGTGTTGTGTGTTCTCCCTGTGTTTCATGTTCTCCCTGTGTTGTGTCTTCCCTCTGTACTGTGTGTGCTCCCTGTGTTTCATGTTCTCCCTGTGTTGTGTCTTCCCTCTGTGCTTTGTGTTCTCCCTGTGTTGCGTCCTTGTGTTTCGTGTTCACATAGGTTTCCTTACAAGTCCAATGAAATGTGGTTAATTTGGATCCTTATCTCTTATTTTCCCTTTGTGAGAATCTTGGAAGAAAGCAGCTTTGCAGTGCAGGCTAATTAAATGCTGTTGGCAGACCACTTTCCACAGGCTCTCTTAATGAACTTTACCGTACCGAGTTCCCATGAACCTGTGTTCAGCAGATGCTGATGCACCCAGTGTGTTCAGGATCCCAAAATTGTGGTGTCCATGTTTCCACCCTACAGAAAGGTAACTGCTAGACCTGGAACATGTTGGTTTGCTGCTTGCAGAACTGGATGAAAATATCTCTGGGGACATTTAATGTTTTGTCACAAAAAAGTATTTAGCATGCTCTCAAACTGAAAAGAAAACATGCGTACTAAATGCATACTAAGCATGTGTTGTCAAACAGAGGTAAATCTTACGGATTCATGGACATGAAACCTGAGCCAGTAGGGGGCAGTCTTCTCTCTCTGGCTGTCAGTGATCCTGTGTGGCAACGTGGAAGGCCACCCGATCCTCTGCCTGCATAATAACTGACTAAATTCTTCCTCATCACCCCAGTAGCTGGAAAATGCAGTCCAGTCTGAAGCTTTTAAAATGCTTGGGTTCACAGATAGAGTTTCAGATACTTATGTCAGGACTCTTAACGGGTGGCTTAGCTTTCTTGTTGCTTCGTCCCATTTTCGAGGGGCCTTTTGCTGGCTGTAAGTCTCTTTCTGTGTTGTAAGTCATGCTTATCTCCTCTTAAGTGTCCGTGTAAGGAAACTCCCCAAGAAACATTAAGCAGAGTTTACCGAGACCTCTTTCAGCCTCTTGAAAGGACGGAAGATGTTAGCAATCTGCCAGAATCAATGCACTGTCCTCAAAAAGCCCAATTATATTTAATCTCTGCGCTATAATTTAGTTGCACCTTGAACAGGGTACATATCTTAAATTACTTGGGTGAATATCATGACTGAATAGATGGATAAAACGATCAAACAGCAAATTATAAGATGGCTTTGCACCTCTGGTGAGATGTCTGAGATATCTGAGGGCAGCTTCTGATCTGCAAAGTCCTCATTTTGACACTGTTTATTTGAACTTAGGTGATTATAAGATGGAAAGGAAGCCTAAAGAAACAAGAAATGAAATAAAGCACAATTCCTGCCTAAAACAGGCCATTTTCTGGGGCGCCACTGAAGCAGAACAGTGCCTAGGAAGAATAATAGCCAGGTATTTTATTTCTGCAGGGAAAAACATTTGAAAACCATCTGCCTGTGCTGGGCCTTTTACCGCTGAAATGATGAGCTGCTCGCGGAAGGCGCCTTGGTCCCCCAGTCTGTATTATAATCTGTGTCACGGAGCCGTTTGGCCTCCATCCAGGCACCTTTGAAAGCACAGATGTTATAGAGGCAGACAGATCAACAGAAATTATATGTTTTATGGGCTTTGACGCAGTTTCTGAAGCAGGCAGGGGCCCCGAGAAGCACCTCAGTCTTTGGTGGCTGGAGGAAAGTGGAGGGAGAAAGCAGAACCAGGTCTGTCCTGGAGATAGAGTTCAGTGTTCATGATAAAGGGAGAGTGTTTTAGGTCTATGTTCTGGAGGTGTGTGTTCTAGGTCTGTGTTCTGGAGCTGTATGTTCTTGGCCTGTGTTCTGGAGATGCATGTTCTAGGTCTGAGTTCTGGAGTTGCCTGTTCTTGGCCTCTGTTCTGGAGATTCGTGTTCCCAGTCTCTGTTCTGGAGGTGCATGTTCTCGGTCTGTGCTCTGGAGGTGCATATTATGGAGGTCTGTGTTCTAGGTCTGTGTTCTGGATGTGTGTGTTCTCGGTCTGTGCTCTGGAGGTGCATATTATGGAGGTCTGTGTTCTAGGTCTGTGTTCTGGAGGTGTGTGTTCTAGGTCTGTGCTCTGGAGTGCATGTTTTGGAGGTACGTGTTCTTCATCTGTGTTCTGGTGGTGTGTGTTCTTGGTCTGTGTTCTGGAGCAGTTAGTTCTGGGTGCATATTGGGGGTGGTGTGTCGTTCAGCAGGTTAAGCCTGCGTGCTTGTGCCTGTGACTAGCAGATGCCCTTAACCCCCCAGCTCCAGCATGCCAGCTGACCCTGCGCTGTGACCCCCAAACTTGCTCTCACCTGTATATGTGCCTGTGTGTCTCATGGAGAGCAAGATGGGGTAGGTGAAAGGATAATTTATTCTGGCTGTGTGTGTTCCGTATGTTTGCAGGTGTGACCCCTCCCTATCTGTGTCTGATTCCAGGTACTCTGTCCTGCACAATGGGAACCACCCAGAACATGAGGGCCTTTCGGTGCAGAATGACACAGAGTCTCAGGAGTCCTGCTTCTGACCCTGGAGAAGTGGACCGGGTCAGGACCATCACTCATCCCCAAAGAAATGTCTCCCAGGACGAGCCGGCCCAGAACAGTGCTGAGGAGATCTGAGCTGGAGGGTGCGTCATGTTGCCAAAGCTATTCGCCCCCATAAGCCGCCTTTCAGGTGACTCAGGCAGCTTGTGAGGCACAAAGATTTGCTTTATGAAGGAAGCTGGACAGAGAGGCCAGCTGGGCAGACCTGGGGACGGGTCCCTTCTTCTGCCCATAGTCAGACAGCCACCGCTACCTAGTACCATGTTAAAGACACGTGACATGAATGAGCCAAACTGATCAAAGGCAGAATGGCTGCCACGTCTGGCCCCGGGAGACATTGCTACGCCCTTCACGTCTGGGATGACACTCAAAAGCCAGACTCATTGCTTTGCCTATTTCAATTCCTGCTGTCTCAGACAGACTAATGTGTGACGCCTCGCATCTCAGATGACTCAACCTCAGATATGTGAAGAAGGAGTGTATCGATCTAATCGGGGGGGATCACACTGTAGCTCGGTAGGTGGGAGGTCACATGTGATAACAGCCCTTGGAGAAAAGTACTGGTGCATTTCGTATTACAAAGAAGCTTGGTGTCAGAACAATTATGTGACTTTTTTTGTTTCTTTTTCTTGGTTTTGTTCCTTTTTTTCTATGTGCCATGGTCCCTTTCAGCAGACAGGATGTATGTCCAGGAGGTTTCAGGGAAATAATGCCATACTCGCCCGCATTCCTGTATTACAGTATTTTAATATCCGTGAAATGAATCTCATCCAGAAGAAAATGATGTATCTGTGTGTGTGGCTTGTTTTAAGGAGGCTCTGCTGATTCTCCTCCTTCTGCAGACCTTCTCAGCGCAGTGATAGAGCTCTTCCCATCATGCATTTGTGTGCTACCCATCCACGGGAACTTCCTCCCATTTTCCCCTGCAGCAGCTTTATGCTCACTGCTTTTCCTTCAGTCGGAACTCCCCGGCTAGATGCCTCACAGGTCTCTGCGGTAGCTGTTATCCCTCCACGTGTCACGTGACCCACAGGGGAAACCCATGTGACTGTCACTTCAGATAGCGCCCACTGTGGGTCCCGGGTATTATCACCTAGAGCCAGCTGCTATTACAGCAGAGTATGACGGCTTACAGGTCGGACTCTCTCTGCAAATGCCACCATTTTTATCTCATATAAGCCCAGAGAAAATCAATATTATAGAAGAGCTGTTCACTGAACTCATAACTCAACCCAACTCATCTTCTTCCAAGATTCAGCTCCTTAGTTATGAAATACTTCATTTGATCCCTTTAAACACAAGTGTAGATTTAGAAGGACGGATCGAGATTGGCTATAGAGCCATGGAAACTGGGGGAGGGCTGGGGGGGGGAAGGTGATGTGCCCGATATTGTAGGTCTCCTTCCGAAAAAGCAGCTGGCAGCAAAGGAAGGTAAATCTCACACGAAGTGATGCTGAAATCCGACAGTGGCCCTGTGGGACGGCCCAGTTTGGGTTTGGAGGACGGTTAGAAAGCCAAGTGAAAGGACTGATTTTGTTTATAATCAATGCAGCAGAAATATCGTGTCAGTAAGGAGTCCATGCGGCATCCAGACAATGACAAACAAATTAACAAAAGCACTGTCTGGAAATGGCCCAATGTGTGTTACTGTCTGTCAAATCCGAGTCTGACATATCAGCCCCCCCCACCCCCCCGCCTTCCCACAGCACCGTATGGAGGATGATCAGTGGCTGTGTGCCACCTCTCTGGGGAGACCGTCCCACCTGCAAACACGCCAGCAGAGCTGCAGACGCCCCGCTGGGCGCCCCCTGTAGGCAGACCTGGCTCACTGCGTGCACGAGAGCAGCACGGGGCTGTCATTCCTTTGGCAGTCTCTGCTTGAACTTCCCCTGAAACGCGGGGAGCTAACTGTCAGCTTACCATAAATAGTTACCAAATTTCAACTCTGAGACAATTTCACAGTTTCTCTCAGCAGTGATTAGACTTAATTACACGTGGTTTCATTCTTTTTTAGCATAATCGATGGCCCCCATTATATTCCTCCTAAACACATCTGTGTGGGGAAATTGGCGTCAATATTATAATTAGTTAATCATTGTGGGTCAAATCAATCTTCAAGTCAGGAACAATCATGGAATACGGGCAGATGATGTCTGCTTGCTGGGATCTGCTCTAAGGGCCAGCGGTCTTCACCATTAATCTTCTCATTCCTTTATCGTGTCATGTGGCTGCTTTCATGTCCTCATCCGCTGCCAACATTTCCACTTAAAATGATAAACTCCAGCTGGTTAATTACAATTCACTGCCTAATAATAAGTCCACTTATATTTGCAGGTTATGCGAATAACTGACTTATTAAGTTAAAGCAAAATTAATAGTTTCCATTTCTGAGACAGATCTGGAAATAAGAGATTGCTGACAGTCCCAAAATAGCTGCATTTTTAGACAAAGGGTCTAATTTCGTAATTAAAATGACTTTTGAGAAGTAAGTGCTTTTTGTGTGTTGTGTGATTCTCGATTGCAGTTCCTGGTTTGATACCTAAACATTAGCCCTCATCTTGTGTTGTGGAGCCATCCCATCATCCTGTGCTCTGTTTTTCTATTTTTATCTGTTGGTCTGTGTTGATCTTTCATTTAAACCATAATCCCACAATTCAGATAAGCCTTTTCTAGCGGTTCTTCACTTATTGCACTTGCCAGAGGATTCCGCACTTCTCTGTGATACTGAGACGTCACTAAATTGTTTTCCTACGTTTGATTTGTGATTTGGCCGATGAGACGGCACTGCACCTCACCCCCATACGGTACTCAAGCTGAAGCGGTCAGATTGGTCTGGTCACATGATCGCTCCTGTCTGTAGACCTCTGTAAGGAGTGTGGACTTTCCTTCTTCTGTTATCCACAGCCCGATGGGGCCAAAGAAGCCAGCAGAAAGGCTTGTGTTTCCCTGGCAACACAGTCCCACACTCTTGTCTGCGAACACCATAGAAATGCAAAGGTTTCCAGATATTCCGACTACTTGTTTCCTTACTGACTTCTGTCCCTTTGATCTGAAAGCCTTCAATATGCCATTTAATTGTTTTAATGCTGTATAAAATCAAAGTACTCTATATAAGAATTGTTGGTATTTTCTCTGTACATACTGAAATATTTTTATTCCAAGCTGTAATATGAGTCCTGTGTTTTATCAGTAGATCTTAACCAGCAACTATGTTCATTTAACGTCCTTCTGGATTATGATTAGAAATATCGACAATATGCGATGCAATATACTCCAGCGAGCTGAATCCGTGGCTGCACAGCGCTAGCTTATTTTCCATGTTTACTGACTTTTTGCAGTAATTGTTCTCTGAAAAAAAGCCCAAAACAGAACTTAAAAGCCACATTGTTGCACACTCCTTCCAATCAGTATTTTTGTGCTGTGCCAAGTTAAATGAATCTGATAAAAACTGTTGTTTCTTGTGCTCTGTGGATTTCCAGATTATAGCATACTGCCCCCCTGTCTCCATTGCATCTGTGGGGGGTGGGGGGGGTCTGAGAATGGTTACCCAGGGTATATTCAGAGGTTTCTCACGGTGCTTCTTTTCCCTTGTGCTGAACGGGATGCAGACTTTAGCTCAGGCGTCTGAGCACCCTCCCCCCCCCCCTCCAGTGCCCCATCCAGGGGGTCTTCTGTGGTACTTTTGGGTGAAGACCCCCACAACCGGGTACCAGATGGCAGACAGGCTTATAAGGGAAACTGAAGACGGCTGTAGAAATCAGATCTTTTCAAACTAAAGCTCAAACATTTTCCGCACAAAAATGTATCCAGGCCAGTGGCATTATACAGGTACAGTGAAATAACACTTCAGTGGGTAACTGGTTCTTTTGTCGTTACCAACAAAATGCAGCCATGAGATCGAGCAGTGAGCAGGTGGGAGGGTGTCTTCTCCAGCCTGACATGACCCTTCAGACATTGCTGGTCTTGGTTGGTGAGCACAGTCATGTTTTGGCGTTCACAGCGTAGAGACCTTCTCGGGTATGAATGTGAACGTGGCCAGACCTGTCCATGGTCATCATGCCCGCCCCCACTCCACTCACGATCCGCACTCCACCCCCCCGCCCCCACTCTCATGGTCCAGAAGGCAAGATTCCACAGCGTGAACGCCTTGTAAAAAAACCCAAGAAATTGTACAGGAACTTTTGTAAAGTGCTCAGTATTTATTTGTTGGAATAAGATGAGTATTTCATGTACAGCTTCTCTTTCAGGGAGCTATATGTATGACTTTTTCTGTTGCTATGTGACAGCTCTAATAAATGATGATAATTAAAGCATTAATGTGAACCGTCATCGTTTCATTTCATTTCGAGTCGCTTCTGGGCCACGTCTGGTATTTTGAAAGCAACACATGCTTATAAGCAATACAGAAATAACCTCCTGGGAAATTATCCAGCGAGTATTAATCCGAAGAACCGCATGCATTCAACAAGACACTCTGTATGAGAATTGACAAGGGACAGGGCTCAGTGAACAGGAAGTAGTATTGCTACCAGGAAGTACTATTGCTAACAGGAAGTAGTATTGCTACTCTGAGAAAGAATGGAAAAGTCTCTCATACTCATTATCAGCAATCTTCTAGCTGCTGTTATGTCTTATCTCAGCAGGTTTTGGGGCCCCGTTAAAGTACTGGGCCCCAGAAATCCATGCCCTTCTGATGCCCCTGCATGTAACAGAGGTATTCTGCCCATTTATGTGGCTGTAAATATACGTCACCCCCCCTCCCCCAAATAGCATAATCGCCTATCTCCACTTCTTAAACACCATGTCTGCGTCACCTGAGTGCACCAGCAAGAAGGTAAAACACAGCGTTTCCTGCTCAGTGTTTTTCTCAGATAATTATTTCTTCTCTACAAAAGGCTGTATTTGGTTTCCATGTCAACCGTATGACATAAGGGATGTCTGATTGGTGGACACAGACTTACAATGGACTGTATTCAGTCGAGTCCCTGGCATTTTGCATCAAAGTATCATGTGTTTTATGCTACCTTGGCAAATATCTGTTACTCTACCTGTACTGTAGACGTTATTTTTGGGGGAAAATAACTTAATTATTTCGGGGAATGTATTCATTCGTTTATATTTGTGAATCTCTCTGTGGGCTCCAGATTGAATCCTCTAGACCAGAAGCCCTTTCATTTGTGCCGCATTAAGATAGCGTCCAGCTGTATAAACATGTTAAAACGTACACTCTGCACTCTGCGCTGGACGAAGGCATCTGTTACGAAAATAAATACCACCAAGCCACTCTAAATACGAGTGTTATTTAAAAGCATAACATCAAGCTGAGCATTTTCACCAATTACGCAATTAGGATCGCGGCGATGCGGAGCGTGATTCGGGACGGCCGGGAATCCCACACGGAGACGGGAGGGGCAGGCAGAGGGTAATGTAATGAAGGTTAATGTAATGAATTGTAATGTAATGGAGGCGAATGTGATGTTCAAGTGCACCCCTCTCACAGTGTGTGACAGCCCTTTGCCTCTCTCAGATAATGCCCATTCTATTATGTTGCACACAGTATTCCAGAAGCTGACAGTTTCATTCATTCTTTTTCATCTCTGCAATTAAAAATATAGTAATCTACAAGGTCATAGATTTGGTTTTGGACTGTAGGGACATGTCCTTAACTGTATTGTGGGAGAACCATGTGTGATTAGCAGGGCTGGGGCCAGAAAATGGACCTGGAGTTGGAATTTAAATCTTCCTGAAATTCAAATTCAATTCTAATTCTGTTCCCCACAGTTTTTTTTCCAGTCCGAACTCCAGTCCCATTTCCTGATATATGACAAGTGGTTTCAGAAAATGGAGGGAATACTTCATTCATATCTTAATAGAAATTAAGGTCTTGATCATAAAAACTTTTGGTTCCTCTATGTAAAAGCAACAGGTTGACATTTCCCTAGCTGCACGCAAGAAACCTTCTGTCCTCAGCTCCTCTTTCAATTTTAAACTACTGTGTTTCCTCCACAAAAGACTGATTGCCAGAATTAGCTCTGGCTCCATCGCAGTGTCCTGCAACCAGGCTGGATTTATGTGGATGGGCTGAAGAACTGTTTCTCTTAATCATCTTGTGGAAACTTGCTGAGTTCAAGTGTCTGAACACAAGTCGCACTTTAATCTGAGCAATGCACCCTTGCTTCCTTCAGTGCGAATCAGGGGTGTTGATTTGAAATGGCTGAACAAGTCAAGTCTGCTTGAAGGAGCTCAGTAGGTTATGAATGCCTCCTGATAAGATGCTTGATTGAGCTGGGAGATAAAAATGACAAACACTTCTGTAACTCTACAGGATGATAAATTAGCCTTGAAAAAATCCTAAAAAAAAACAAGTGATTAAATGGCTGTATGCATCCAGCTTGTCTGTGAGAAGACAGATAACAGTTTCGCCTGCTTATGGTATGTTTTAATCCATATATACATCTATCCCTTATGTCATGCACCTGTGCTTTTAATACATTATAAATCTGCATATTCACCAAATTTACTGATTGAACCAAATATGTTTCTCCACTACAGTACAGACCAGGTTCAAGCAGGCCTCCAGCACAGTGGGTTTTACAGGACAAACCCAGTGCGGTCCAGCAGAACAATCCCAGCATGCCACTGTCTCACAGCACAACTCACCAATCAAACAGTAGCAGGAAGTGAAGAGAGAGTCATTTTCATTGGGTCTTTGACGAAGGGGACTAGGTGAAGCCGTGAAGGGGAATGAGGTAAGAGAAGGAATGGGGCAGATGGAGGGGCTTTCCCACCACCCTAATCACTAGGGCAGTCAACACAGATACTCTACATTTTTCCTAACTTTAAGTGTTATCTGAAACAGTGCCCCCAGTGCCCAGGAGGTGAAAAGCACTTGGTTAAGCTTCTGGACAGTGGTAGGTAATGCCAGAAATGAATTGTGAAAGGGGAGGTTAACGATGTTCCATGATGGGATCTCAATGAAACAGTGTAAGATTGATCCATGCCATAATGCCTCTAAGTGGGCCGTTTGTCCAGCGTTTAGGCCCCCGAGGTGGGAGTGCAGCTGACAGTTACAATACAGGCTGGACACCAGATTTATGTGAAATCTAAATGCTTTTTCCAGAGAGTGCTACAGGTATTTATTTTACTCACATGCGATTTTTGGGCCAATACTATGAAATAGTAATATATTGCTTGCAGCCCAACACATAAAAACAATGTATTATCTACAATAAATCAGTATCATAAACTGCTTTCCAAGCAGCTTACGGGAACTGATGGCAAAGCGTTGGCTCAGATTTCATGTCCCAGCGATAGCCTTGCCTGGGCCCAACTGTGGTAAGGATATTACCAGGAAAAAGCATAATCATTTACATTTTTTCTTTTCACTATTACATGAGTCATGACTCAAGCCCCAACTCCAAATATTGTCTCATAAAGCGCCACCCAGCTGCCATCGAGCAAACTGCAGTGATATACAGGAAATGCTAATTAAGCAGTGAGCAGTGCAGAAGCAATTGGATGCATCTGGAATGTTCTCTTCACTGTGCCTCTTGGAGGGTCAGGTGCAGCGGTGAAGTTCTAACAGTCCTGTGTAGCACAGTGCCTAAAGTGTGACTTTAGCTATGAGGTGGGTGTTCTCTACATTAGCTTTTGGGATACAACCAAACAACCTTTCAGGAGAAGGGCAGCCTCTGCTGACATTCCCGTTGCCCCTCAGGCACCGACCCCATCAGCGTCTCGCTTGTTCTCCAGGTCAAGTGATAACACTGTAAACTGCCTGGCCTCTGACCTCAGTGGATTAGGATGCTGTGCCTGTGATCATAAGATCACTGGTTCAAATCCCAGGCTCAGCAGAGTGATGGGCTCTGGAGCCAAGCCCTTAACCCCTATTGCTCCAGGGACTGGCCGTCCCTGCTTTTCCAGTTGTAAGTCTCTTTGGATAAAAATGTTTGCCAAGCAAATAAATGTCCTTATTAACCACCAGATCAACCGTCAGTCTCCACAAACATCTGATAATGAGTTTCTCTGGAAACACTTTAGGCCTGCATAAGGAGTACTTAGGACCTGTGACAAAAGCTGATAAGGTTAACCTTCCTACACAAACTGAGGCCAGTCACCACCTTATTCAGGTCAGTCACAGTTGGTGCTTGACCTAGGAGTGGGTAAGTTTTGCAGACTCGGGGGGGGGGGGGGGGTCCTATCAGTACATTTTACATGATTGTCATTTGTCAAAAACTGCCACTTAGACCTTCAAAAGAAGGGCATTTTCCATCGCTTGGGCTTAAGGGGATGGAAGTTGCTGGAAGTTGGGTCATGTGTGTGACTGCATGCAGCTCCTGTGTTTAATTTTATTTGAACGTGGATTTGTCATTAGGCTGCCGAGTCTGCAGTCCAGGAGATACTGAAGTCATCTTCACTCAAGGTCCAGGGTCACACATAAACCTCTCTGAAATGACAACTAGAGACCTCAGACAGCAAAAATCATACATCCCTATGACATATTACATATTAGTCACTCTACGAATTCCTCAATCAAGACAAATATCAATAATAAAACAGATATTTTCACTGGAGAACAGCTTTTCTCAACATTTACTTGATTTAGGAGACTTTATATAATTGTTGCTGTGCTTTCAAAACTGTTTTCCTGGGCAAAATTTCAGATTGTTACTTTGAAAATACAAAGTGACTCACAAGTAAAAGAGCAGAAATCGGCAAGGCTTGGAAAGTGTGGCTGTTGGCCACTATAAAGTCCTCCAGGAAGCTGCTCATAGGACTCACTTGGTGAGATGTGGACTGGACACCTACAAATGATTTACCATCTGTGGCAGCATTCATGGTAAGATGAGCCTCACAAAAGTGAGACCATATGGCTTCATTGTTGTTGTCAGCACAGAGAGTTTGGGGTGACTTTATTCTTATGTCCCATTTATCTAAGACTAGTGACCGAAATGAATCAGTATGCCCTAAACCCTCAACTTTCAGGGGTGGCCCATCCGGTTGGGCACCATGATTAGCCATTTGAAATGCTCTATCTACATCACAATGATCCACATTGTTTGTTAATTAGCATGAATGTCCACGTCAAAGATTCTGCCTAAGTCTGGGTTTCATATGCGCCGCTGTTTGCCACCATTTAAACCAAGCATTTGTGTGGGACCGCCTGTTGGCCACAAATAGTCACTACACTAAAAATTAAAAAAATTGCATTCCTTATTTAGAATAAGGAACCAACCAGCCACTGGGTCTCAAACCAGCCAACTAGCTAGCATCTTCTGATTCTACTTGTTAGTAAACTTTAACATTATATGCA